GCTGGTTTAGACATGTTCAAGTATCTAGGCCGAAATCACAGAATGAAACGGCTCTTCAGATAATTTTGCTCCAAAGGTGTTAGAAGCCGCTTCCATTCTTGCTCGTAATCCAAAATTGAATAGCAAGAATGAACAGCTAGCTCTCTGTGGTTTATTTTTTGGCAATTAAGTTTCTTACGAATCTACTTTACAATTTCAAATTTTTTTAGCGATAACGAGAATGTATGTTCTTTTTTTGCTCAATGTCTATGCTTCTACTCTGCATTATTTATACACTACAAATTATGGCTCGTATTAGCAGATATGATTTTGAAGTTGCCTATGTTTGCAGCGTGGAACTAACATGTGGACCAACAAAATCCTCAAGAAATCTTTGACGTATCAATATGGTTAGACGGCAACAATTAATAAAAGCTTGCACGAGATTGGTATGACAAGGAAAGCACCTATGTCAAAATGTATCTTCCCAAAAAATGTAAATATTGCACTTCTATACATTCATGAGTTTGCATGATTCCGCGCTCAGCTTGTTGTTCACAAACACATCAAAGTATGAACTTCGAAAGTATGCCTGGAACTGTCTTTTGGCACCTTTGGCTCATAAATGTGTAAAATCTATGTCTATTATCTCTCCTTCGAAAAATACTTCATTGGGTATATTTTTTTGAAACTTCTGATTTAGTTTTAGGTGTTATCTGCATCCTTTCCTTTCTAAAGTTTACAAAAGGACTAACCTTGTGAAGATTTGAAATCACCGATGTTTATGCGCATGAATACAATTATTTTCAGTTTTTGTAAAGTTATCTGGATGATCTATTGAAACCGATCTAGATTGGGGCAAAGACATCTTGTTCATGCCGCAAAGCTTACGCGTCGCCAGGTAAGTAATTGAATTTGCTTTGATACTTCAAATGAGAAGATGACTATGTTGCATAATATGCAGCGCATCTGCAAATGATTGTACTTTCACATTTGAGGGAACAGCATTCCTCAAAATCAAAAAAAGCTAAATCTTTCTACCTACAACATTTTCTGATTGTCTCAGCAAAGCTGTCGAATTGTCACAAATTGAGTACTTACTCACTTTTTTGTTGCTTGCAAATTACTTTGCATTATCAGTGAACGCAGACGAATGCTTACAAGGCATCACTATGAATAAGTCGGACCAAAGTAGGATCCTCTCTGTGCCAAGCAAGCCCTCTCCTTGTAGTAAGGTCAAATGGTATCAAAATTTTTATCTTCATCTTTCAGTCAAGTAAACTACTTGTCTTTTTGCTGCTGCTTGTTTTTTATGTATTCAGAAACATGTAGTAACATCGAAGTTGATGTCTATTCAGCCAATCAAATAATAGCTACATTTTACTTGCACTCCTTCGAAGAATAAAATAATGACAACTTTTTTCTATGTTTCACAGATTTTTCTTGTACTCATTAAACATTCCATTATTGTCTATATGCATCTGCATCAATTTTTCCTTTCTACGTATCATCTTAAATTGTGATTTGCCAATATCTGCGAGCACAATGCACATTTATAAAATCGATGAGCTTGAGTGCGGTCACGCGCACAAAATTTACAAGAGCATATAACGCTCAAGCAAAGCAGTAACACTTCATTTCTGCTCAGCTCAGTCACTTCGGCTATCTTGCAGCTATTATACGCATCCTTCGAGTAGAAACGAAGCTAGAAACGGGTGACGCACAACCGCCGCCACTGTCTTTATCACGGGTTTACGAACGTGTATAATGTGCTTTGCTTCAGCCGCCTTGCGACGTCCTTCACGCAGTCAGACTTCCAACTCGCACTCTTCTTTTGCCAGAATAGCTGCATTCAGACAATTATTGCGAGCACCCGCGGCCCCTAACGGTGTCCTTCGGCGGTGCGCGGGCGTCAAATTCTTGCACTGACCATCCGCGGCTCTAGATTTATTTGCTTGGCGACGCGCAGCCCAATGTTATCATTACGCCGCGGGCCTCAAATTTTTCATAGGAACACCCGCGGCCCAAGGAAAACCACACGGGCGAGCCTCGGCCCTTACAGGACTCCCTGCATATTGTAGTTTTCGGGCAACCCCCGGCCCTCTAGGCCACGGCACCACATAACGACTCTGGCGAGCCCCGGGCCTTGCTGGATGCCGCAATTCTTACACGCTGTAAGAGAAAACGTTACTTGCGTGAGATACGGCGCGGTGATAGAACTACCCTCCAGATTTGGTCACAGGGACAAGCCAAGTTCTGGTCGTTGAAAGTCTCTTGGATGACACAAGTAGAGCTCTCGATTGGGTCATAGGGTTGGAGTGTTGATGGGGAGGGGTGCGAACCCTTTATTTTTATGTAGGTTGCGGCCTTTGTGCTAGACCGGAAGTGAAAACGGATTCTCAAAATTTTTCGTAATTCGAGTACCGGGTGTCTATCGGGCCACCCGCGGGTGCGGATCGCGCATTTGTCGGGCTCTTGTCGGGCCACCCGATGGTATTATTCGGGCGCTCATCGGGTCACCCGCGGGCACTGTCGGGCGTTTATCGGGCACTTATCGGCGCGCCCTCGGGATGGGCGTGGCGTCGCCCGTTTGTGGTCGGCGGGTGCTCGCCATAATTGTCTGAACAGCTGCACAAAAGCTGTAATCAAATTGCTTCAATGAGCGCAGCGTAGTAATTCCTTGTTCAAAAGCAGAGTTGCCTCGCTGGTGGAAAAATGAGAGGGCACAAGATAGCAATGACAGCATATACAAGCTTTTTTTAAATGAATTTTTGTTTGCGTTTATGGTTGTTTTGCTTTTCCTCCTCTATACCCTTGATATGCTAAGTCTGCAGACCCATACATGTGAACTGATGATTATAGGGTTCGGAAAACAATGTCGTCTTCGTGATCTTTCTTACAGTATCGCAGCAGGGTGAACACAAAAGAAGCGAGGAAGCCTTCCCCCCCCCCCTACCTTGAGAACCCTGGGTCGCGAAAATCTTGAAAGTCATTAAATGTGTTATAAAAGTGTGTGAGCGAGCAAATTTTTTACAAGGCTTTGTAAAAATTTTTACAAAGCTTTGTAAAAAAAATTTTCAGGTACATGGCTGCCGCAACATATTCGCACTTTTGACCCAATTTTGTCTCTCATAATCTACCCATGAAAATTGACAAACTATACTTTTGAACGTCTGATTTGGAGTACATACTTGAGCAAATCTGAGGACCCTAGGATTCTACAAAAAGAATATAAATGGAGTTTTAATTTTTGAGTACCTAGAGTTTTTTGTATTTAGGTTAGCTAAGAAATAATTTTGGTTAAGTTTGAAAGCTCATAACTTGTTTTACCGCTGACATTCAAAACCATTATGATATCTTTCAAAAGAGCAGATTAAAGTGTGCAGTTTGGTTTTAAGAACTGTATGGATTCATAACGCTACCAGTGTTTAGAAGTCTTGAAACATGCGCGATCAAAAATTTGGACTGCGCTGCTGAATGCTCTACGATTACAACTCGGACTTTGGTTCAAGCTTTTGGTGAAGGTGTAGTAAGAGAGGTGCAGAACTGGTTTAAAGGCCATTGCCTGGCCAAAAAAACGACTTTAAGATTTTATGCTCACCCGGGTATATTCGCTATGCTGAAATCGAAAATCTACACTGGAGGGCGAAAACGACAAAAAAAGCTCTTACGCAGGAAGGGAGTCAACAGGAAGCAGGGTCTTTTTCACGGGTGGGTTTACGCTCTCAAGCTTCAGAACGATCTCGATTCCGCTAGCCGCCCTGACATCGCGACCGGCCAAGTGCAAATTCGTGACTTAAAATCAAAATTGAAAAGATTGCTCCGGAAGTGGGAGCGTGAATTCACAGTGGGGAAGACCCTGCCCACCTGCTGATTTCCCTCCTGCGTTAGAAGTTTTTTTCGCCGGTTTCGCACCTTTCAGGGTGGATTTCGGATTCAGCATAGCGAATAAGATCTTGAAATCGACTTTTTGCCGGACACTGCCTTTAAGCGCTTCCGAAGTGGTGATGAGTCTATGACGACGACGCACATAGAGGGCACCCTTAGACGCTGAACAAAAACGTTTTGAAGAAAGCGCTGGAAGCGGATCCAAGTCATACGACCAGAGAACTTGTTGAAAGATTCGGCTGCACCCATGGAAGAGTGGAGAAACATTTACAGGCGACAGGAAAAAGCAGTAGATGCAGGAAATGGGTATCGCACGAGCTTATTGGTGGAAATAATGAGAAGAGGATGGCGGTGTGCCGAATTCTGCTGAATATGTCGAAGATGACCTAATTTTATGACACCATCTTGATTTCAGATGACAAATGGGTTTATTTTGACAACCAGCGACATTTGAAACCTACCCTTAAACCAGACGCACATGGCAAAAAAGCCATGCTGTGCGCCTGGTATAATATCAAATTTCTGATGTATTTTGAGGTGCTGCCACCTAGTCAGTCAGTTACAGCAGACATGTGCGCTGAAGAGCTCGAAAGGGTGAATCAGGGCTTTGAGTGAGAATCCGAGGGCTATAAATATCCTGCACGAACGCTCGCCACATCGCAAACACTGTGCAGAAAAAATAGGAATTTGGGATGGCAGCTTCTACCTCACTAGCCACAAAGCCCGGAATCAACTCCATCGGATTCTATTCCTCTATTCCACTCGCCATACAACCCAGACTTGGCTCCATCGGATTCACACGTTAATTATGTTGCAATACAAATCTTTCAGGCGCGCAAGTTCAGCACTGATATTATTGTTGAGCTATGTTAACGTCCCTTAGACCAGTACCTACTATAGAGTTTTTTGGCAGAAAAAAAACAATGTGCGCTTACATCAATGATTCCCCTTCTACATTTTGGACACTGTTTTCTTCAGTAAATATGTCCATCTCTGTGTAAGAACATATGGGGACTTATGCAACAACGCTACAAGTATACGGATACATATACTTATGGCAATCTGCAGTCAACCCGAATTGTAGGTTGTATATTTTTTACCGCATCTAATGGCAGATTGATCGAAGCATTTAGATGATTCGATATAAATGGTTGACTATATTGAGCATATCGAGCTTGGCAATTGTTTTCCTTTACCTAGCAGACTCGAAATTGACCTTAATAGAAAACGTGAGTATTTGTATTTTTATACGATGCACAAATAAAACTTGTTTTAGATTATGTCAGATGACAAGAGCGTTAGCAAGAAATGCATATGCATTTACAAGGGTCAAACATATGATTTTTGTTACCATATCCCGCACGATAAAAGCGTCGAAGGAAAACGATTTGATTGCAATTTTGCTTCTGATCTTGACGGACTAGGTGCGTAAGAGAAATCTTCTGCGTGAAATCCAGAATCAAGCGTGGGGTGTGGAATGCCACATCCGGGAATTATATTGAGAGGTCGGGGAAGAGGGGGGGAGCTGAGGTAATTATCGAGGTGTTATTGATGTTAACGATAACATAATATTCGTTGAGACAAGCCCTTATGCAGAAATGCTCATTATCGTATTAAACTACAATCGTGTAAGCCTAAAAAAGCCGGCAGAGACGCAGACTGCGTTGCGGGAGCGAACGGGCTTAATTAGGTCATAAAGCCCTGCCTTCCAGCGCCAAGCCCGTTGAATTAAAGGTTAATTATGTTTCAAAGGTGAGCTTGCTACTTTCTCACATAGTACAAGGTGCAAAGTAAAAGGTCAAGTTCTTTTCTGCTTATTGGGAATTACCATTTCAAATAATCGCGAAATTATGGAATTATGAGCAAACCAAAATCTCATTTGTCCCATTTTGCTTTTGATGTCCAAGACTAAAAAAGACCTATCAGGCTCAAATTACTGTTATAAAACCGAGGTTAGGCTTCACTTTCTTCCTCTGTAGTAGTTGCTGGAAGCAGAACTACTGAAAGCTAAGATGGGGCAAAAGATATTGGCTGGCCCCTAATTCCACAGTTTAGATCTCATGTGGAGTTTGATTTTCATGTGGACAAAAAAGGAATAGTGCCTTGTACGAAGGCAAGAACAGGCAGCTAGTTCACTTTCTAAAATAAAATCAATCATGTTCGAAAATGACAATTTCACTTGGGTGGCCAATATTGGAAACCTTCAGAATTCGCTAAAATTTGGTTCACGGGGGTTATTTGACATGCTGATTACGAATTTGGTACTATACGCTTGTTAAAGCCCAATGTTTTGCCTACGTAGGCAAATGGTAGTGATAGGGGTGGCGGGGGAGAGGATGGGAGAGAGGTCGCATCCAACTGTTGTGTGCCACACTTTGTGCTCAACCCAGATGAATACTTTGATGTGTCCCGTTTAAGGCTTGCTGTCACCCACAAATCTTATTGATTTGGGCTCACAAGTAATGCCACAACCAGCATTCATCTCAGCTTTGTCGGAAAGCCACTATAAGGAAGGATTAACAATGGTAACATTGCTCTGAGTACATATCGTTTATTTTCTTACATTCTCATTGAGCGCAAATGCATATTGCAGCTAGCCAATTTTCGTGCAGTATTTCCACATCAAAAAATTTTTATATACGATTTAGGCCTCAAACCGGAATCACGAAAAGATATCGAGGTGGGAGATTATTCTTTGCGCTTCCCCGCACTGCAATTTACTGTATTGCAGAGTAAATGCCTCGTAGAAATGCGTACGTTTCCGTTCGATAGATTTCGGGCAAATTTGAGGAATTTACCAGAATGTAGATGGAAAGCCATTCTTATAGCTGTCAGTTTTCTGGATCCTCTTCCTCACGCACTGACGCTAAAAATTTCGTGCTCACTCAGTTACCTTAAGACGACAGCGAAGGAGTTTGGTGCCGTTTGGTACATGGATACCTCCATACGTTGGATGAAAGACGTTCGATCATTAGTGTACAATGCTTATGCTAATAGCAGAAAAAACGGCGTTGAGTTACCCAGGTATGTTGATTGGTATCCTAGATTTCTTGCAGTAAATACATTGTATAAACTGTCTACTTGCTTTTTACATAATGCATTTGTTTTCAATATGCAAAGTTAAACTTGGTATATTCATAAAAATTGATTCTCGCATGCATTTTTGGCTGTGAGAGCTGCACTTTCAAAACACAAGAGATTTCTAATTCCAGCGCTGTAATGTTCCATTTGCATGTCAATCGCAGTACCTATGTCACTACCCACCCTGGTAAGCGAGTTTTGGAACTTGTTAGAAATTTAGAAATTCTTGAAGCTTCTTTGTTTCGAACAACCGACTTGAGAAACATATTCTTCGAAGCCATTTTTCGACAGATTAGACACTCAAATGCATGCCTCATTGTCTAGAGGCAGAGCATGAAAAGTGAAAGTTGTTGAAGCTCTCTGCTTCCACAAAGTCACGGTTGCTTTAAATGAGTCTAAAAAAGGATACGTAAAAAAAGTAAGGAACAAAAAGGAACTGTTGAAAACGGGGTCGATAAAGTAACGAACAAAAAGGATCTGTTGATAACGGGTGGTGAAAGTAAAAACGATGCAATGAGTTTTTTGATTTCTTTCTTCTGGCGTTCAAATCGTAAAGTTTACCTTCAATCGCCACCACAAAGTTCACAGAATACATGCAAAAGCTTTTCTTGTTCATGGTAATCTCTCACTGTTGCGGCTTGGTGTGCTCAGCACCTCGCCCTGGTGCTCGTCCGCCTAACACAACAACTCTAACTCCAGAATCTTGCTTGTCCGCGCCAGTGTACGTACTCGACGCCTTCATCCAGATACCCGTACGACGAACGATAATCACAACACACGACTAGATTAGATCACATTTACTAAAAAATAAACACAAAACAAACACATAAAATTACCAAATACTACTGCTGGAAAACGAAAAGAAGGCACGGGACAAGCCGCCTCGTCCCGTGCTACCGATGCCCCAAAATGATCGTCATCAACAAGTGTTCCGTGTTCTTCACCGGATCGGCCGCAAGTCCCAAGTCCTTACGGGACGGCGCGACCCCTTTCCACTCCCGCTAGTATCCTGTTTACGCCAGACAAACCATGATGTTTAGCCGCGCGTCTCCAAAACCAAGGAGATGACAAAGGCTCAACCGCTCGAAACCGATGATCATTAGCGGGAGCTGCTGGAGGCGCTGCCAGCACGAATGATTTCATAAAAAATCGATAACACACGCGAACTCGAAGAGGCGTAGGCAGCCTGCGCGCCCTTATATACCCTGTGACTTGGCAACGCGCCCAGCAGGAGACGTCCGAGCGCGAATGCGTATCGCGCTTGATAAGGCTGGGTTCATACTGATTCTCGTGTCTGGAACCTGTTCTCGCACAGTTCTCGCACTGTGCTGGAACAATTCCAGAACTGTGCTGCATGCGCTGCAACCGCCCCGCACCGTTTTGAACGGCGGAAGTTAGAAAATTTTGACCGTTTTTAACGGTTTTTCTTTCAGATTTCTCTCATTTTGGCCTTATTCCTCCACCGCGCTTCCCTTTTCGACCAGCAAGACTTCGAACTCGGAAGGGGGTTGAAGAATGAACGCTTTTCTGCTCTGCATATGCGACAAAACGTGTGTTCTTGTGCTCGTCGCTTTTCTCTTCGCTTTATTTTTACTCAGACCTAATCCGTTTGTTCCAGAAATCGTAGTTTCCATAACCATCTGTCACGAATTAGGGAGCAGAAGCAATTTTGAAACTGCATGAATTGGGACTTGTCTCTTGTTTTTGATGATTTTGGGCGTTCTCAGCCCCTTTCGTTTTTCCATATCGTTGCTTCTCCGTTCTTTCTTCTACCCCGCTTCTCCCTGTGATGAGAAAAGCTGTGAACTTGAAGCAGGGTTAAGGATTGAACGCTGTTCTGCTTCATGTATCCAGGAAGATGAACTTCTGTGCATATATCTTCTCTGCCATTTTTGTTCAGGCCTACTTCATGTGTTGTAGAGACCTGTCTATGTCAATTTCAATACAGATGCGAGACTACGCAGCGTCTTGTTGGAACATATGAAGTGGGTTTGAACAAAAATAGCGATGAGAGAATGAACGAGCGCACGAAGGCCCATCTTTCCGGGTACATGAAGCAAAAAAGCGCTCATTCTTCAACCCCGTTTCGAGTTCGAAGTTCTGCTGATCAAAAAGGGAGGCGCGGTGGAGGAATAAGGCCAACGTGAGAGAAAGGGGGCGGCTGCAGCGCATGCAGCATAGTCTGGAATTGTTCCCGCACAATTTCAGCACAGTGCGAAAAATGTGCGCGAACAGGTCCAGAACATGAGAATCAGTATGAACTCAGCCTAATGCGACAACCAGCGCTCCCGGCCTCCTTTCCGAGATGTAACTTGTATCCCCAGCCGCGACACTCATGGTGTGGAAGGGCAATCGGTAAGCAGGAAAACAGAAGAAAAGGTTATGAAAACTATTGCTTCATTTTCACAAAGTCAAAACGCATGTCAAAGCCTATCTAAAGTTTGACGCGAACTCTGACATTTACCCGTCTTGTTTGTTGTTACCGCCGATTTTGATTGTTCTTTTCATCATTCCGAGTAAGAAAATCCAAAGCATGAGTATAGGTTGGGATTTTACTCCAAAACAAAACAAAACAGAAAGAAAAATTCATTTTTACTAGTCTACTTATTTCTTACAGTATGTGCAGAGTCTGCATAAAACAGAGAAAAGAAACGAACACCAAACAACGACCGCAATAATAGAACAGCTAAACACAAAGGCAGTTGAAAGTAAGTTTTACATAAGGGCCCGAAGAATATACTGTGCCTTTAATGACAGTGAGTAAAGTATCCAGTAGAATATAATTGAGCAAGAGTAACAACAGATGAGTAGCAGTGGGGAATGTTATCGCCGTGGCGGCGCAAGGTATCCACCAATTTAACAAATCACCCCAGTTGAATCTGTGGAATCTCGAAAAATAAGTGTCCTTCGGCCACAAATGTTGTCTATGGGAATGGGAGTTAGAATAGGATAAAGAAGGTCTCGGCTGTGCCTTTGAACATAGCACAAAGAACACAACAGCAACCATAAGCAACGTTTCGAACACAACTGTATTGATCTTACATAATCGATTGCTTTGAGCACTGTGTTACAGGCAGGAAATGAGTGTAATTATCGCAATCAAAATCTCAGATAACACCCTGAGCAAATTTAGGACAAATGCGAGCAAAGCACTTTTGACTGTTCTCCTACAGTACATATACAATGCATCAATAATAAAACAATGTAAATGTTGTTATCAGCAGACTGAGTAACTCATCTAGTCGTAAGCAAAAATCTGAATCGGTGAAAACTGACTGTCTACATATACTTCGTAGCCCAACAGCTGCAGCCCTTCCCTAATCAGAAGATACTTCTTGCCAACTGGGTCGACTAGTGTTCTTGAATTCAGAATTGAAGCATATGGCGATGCGTCGTCGATTCCGGAGCACTCCGCTGCACTCCGGCGCACTGCAGCGCTCCGGCAGAATGCACCGAAGCGCGGCGATTCTTTGACGAATAATCAGCGAGACTGTGTGGGATGGGTTGGAAACGAAGTTTGCCATTTTGTCCTATCTTTCTCATTTTCTATGCGCGAAAAAAATCCTGTAAAATCGTATGTGAGTAGCACTATGTGTTTACAGTTTAGTGGCCAAATTGAAGTCCCGTAGGATTTATTATATTAGCAAAAATTCACTTCTCAGGTGTTAAAATTTTTTCCAATTTGGCTCTGAATTTTACCTGAATCTCGACTTAGGTGGATCTTTGGGGGTCGTTGCTTCGATCTAACGAATGATACCTCAAGTCTGGTAAGAAAACAAAAAGTAGCCTGACTTATTTGAAAAAACAGTTTACTTTTGGGACAACTCAATACATTAGTCTGCAAACATTGAATGACACTGAAAACAAGATCATTTGTGCTATGTTTTCAAAGATAGATTTGGTAGTCCGGGGCACTTGACCACATTGCCGTATACAGACTACTTGAATCCTTTTGCAGATTTTGCTCGCCTCGGAAACCCATCTTTGGAGCGGTGGGTCCCTATTAGCATGCAATCCGCCAAATGCGGTAACGAGTCTGGATTAGACACGCATGTCTTAAACGCGGTACAAAAATTCGCTGTATTTGGGCAATGTGTTAACATCCTAAAACTAGTTTGATTCAAAATTACGATGGCGCGTAGAAAAAGATAATGATATGCATTTTGGGTTAAAATGTTCCTAGTTACGCTTGATACACCTGCATGGATAACTCTTTACGATCTTAGAGATTGCAGAAATGTAAAGGAATAAATACAAACCTTTTACTATATATGTACCGAACCCAAAAATAAACTGCATACTTCAAATTGAATGCTAATATAAGCATACAGATATTTTATTAGGTTGTTCTACAGGTTCTACTTGCATCAAATTAAAATCGTATTCTCTTCGTTCTTAGCGAATTCAGAGCAGGTTATCGTTGTCCTATCGCAAGTACTCAGCTGACCAAAATGAAGGATCTGAACTTTGAGTTTACTCGTGCTCTAGGCTCTATCACTCATCAATTCCAGCTACTAGAAGTTCAAACTGAATGAATATCAACGTTTTGTTTTCAACTGATGAGCCATATTTCGGGTATTTCTGAAGAAAGTTCAAGTTTCATACCAGTAGCACCGTTAAGCTGATTAGAAAGCTCATTACGAACACATCGACAAATATCATGAGGAAGAGAATTAGAGTTGCAATGTTTACAAATCCTTGATTTTCAAGAAAAAAAGTGGTAAATGCAAATGTTCTTGATTTTTTGGCGTTCTCTACATTTAGAGACCTACACATTCATCCCCACAAACATGAGAGAGATAAAAAAGAAATCCTGTCTCCACGCACTCGCTGGTTTTATGTTTTTCATTAGAACAGCAGACGCCATCGAAATTTTGAAGTGGTAGGATTTGGTCACAGCCTGATTTTATGTTCGTCAGCAGACGATTTTCAGGTATGTTCTCTGCAGCTTTGAGCAAAACTGCATGGCCCCTTCTGGTGCAAAAGTTTCATGCGACTATATTCGCGATCCTTACAATCAGTACGCTAACTGCCACAGGTGAATTCTTTATAATTTTGATAGAAAAATTGGCATTAATTTTTAAAGTTCAGATTTGATCAGTCCGTTGTCAACCTGCTTCTTGCAAACGCTTATCGATGCAACGTTTCAAATTACTTAAGTGATATTGGAAAAGGTGCCAAAGTTATACACAATGAAGACCATAGTCTCACAGAAATAGACTTCGCCTGTCCATACAGGGAAGTTACAGTTAGGAATTGTTTCTGCTTACTGTGGAAGGCTTTTTCATTATAATGATCTGTTTATCTCGCCTCGAATCATCTCTTTTTAGGATTCATAACAAAACACACTCGTACAATTCTGTTGCTGATCGGTAGACTGAATGTTATAAAAATGTGGCATGCAGAACATTTATTTTGAAAGTTGGTTGTCTGGATGTTACGGAAATGTGGCACCGCAAGAACAGTTACTACGACGACATTTTGATTAATTTCAAAAAAATACATCGGGTTTTCCATTATAGGCAGCAAAACGCTGAAATATTAGGTCGTTCCGAAAGTAATGTCGCTTTTTTCGAATGAACGCCACTATTCGTGGAATCAACATTTTCAAGAGGTCTTAGGAGCATTCGATGCAGCATTTCATCCTCTTTCTAATAATTCTAATTTCACTGCATAATGTTCAATGAGCTCTCGAAAAATCACCAAAATCTACGACTCATGCTTTTTGCCATGGTCAAGTTTGGCTATTTTCCTTAATTTTTGTACCTAATCTCCGAAAAAGTACAAGTGGCAGGTAGATAGAGCAAACACTATAGAACACAGAGTAGTTTTTACTTTACCTTAGCTTGCTTCTCAGAGTTTTTACAATCAATTTCTCAATGCCATCAAATTTCACTTTTAGTCAAGTCAAACTTCACAGAACAACAACCAGCAAGCGACTTGGGTGTCATTCGATGCAGCTTTTTCTCCTCTTTCTACCAGTTGTTTGTTTCCGATTTATCAAGTTTTCCGGGACAAAATCATCATAATTTGACTTTTCTAAGGCACCCCCAAGGTGTACCCGAAATTTTCGAAAGTTGCTAAACCGAAGCGGTGAATCCTCGTTTGGTTTGTAAAATTGTTGCCAAACCGTAATCCATCTTTGTAAGTTCCAAAATCCGAAGACTTGTTGGCTTTGATGCACTTGTGTCTGAGACGAGCCTGCTAAATCTCGGTGGTTCCATCAAAAAATTCTGAAAAGTAGAAAAAAGCTGTGCTGTTTCCTGTAGGGTTTGCTCCATCCATCCATTACTTGGACTCCTTCTGAGGTTTGTCATAAAGTTTTAGAAAAATTGTGAAACTTGGCCATCTCAAAAAGCATAGGTCGCAGATTTTGACTCCTTTCTGGAAGCTCATTGACTGTATTGCAACAATCTCATAACTATTAGAAAGAGAATGAAATGCTGCATCAAAAACTACCAGAATCTCTCACACATCTTTGTTCCACGAGATGTGGCATACGTTTGAAAAAAGCGACATTACTTTCGGAACGACCTAATATTTCTTGCCAATTGCATTGAATTTATGTTTGCGAATAAAAATCTGCTATGTTATTGAGTTAGATGAAAAAATACAGCAATTACGAGTACGTGAGTTGGGGTGGAATAGTTTGAACAAAAAATGCTGCTGCTCCAGTCGTGAAAGGTAATCAGAGGCGAATGTGGCCAAAAATTTCCTAAAAGTGAAAAAAAGGTATTAATTGGCGCTTTCTCTTTCTGAAGTCACAACAATCTCCAGATTTTGCGGTAAATACTGTTGCAACCGTATTAGATGCTGCTAATAAAATTCTTTTGGCAAGTAATGTTCGTGCTTATAGAATGTCTGCATGAGAAAACGGAACAAAATCATTTTTTAACATATAGACATAAATTGTTTTAGATTGTGAGGAATCAATTATTAGGTTGGCACGTAAGTTTTGGAACTTTCCCCACAACTTTTTTCTTACTGAATATAGCACTCTCATTTTTTTGGCAAACTCTAGAGTGCGACGTAAGCTTCACGCCTGCGCAAACTGTTTGATTTATGATAAGGTAGTAGAAAAAAATCTAAGCTTTTTTCGAAAACCCGTGAAAATCAAGGTTTTCACGGTTTTTTTTGGCAAACACGAAGCCGTCAAAACCTGAATCAGACAACCAAAAAAGGAATTACAATCAGCATGTAGCTAGAATTTGGCACATCAGAATCGTAATAAAGAAACGAAATTCAAAGACAAACTAAGACAGATACTTAGATACGTCAAGTTTGAAGGGCCTTTGAAAATTAAAGCAAGTCAGATACGTCAAGTTTTAAGGGTAATCTGTCCTTAATTAAGCTGTGAAACCTCAGAATTCGCTAAATCTTTACACAATAGGGTAATCTAATACGGTGAATACGAATATTATTTTTATTTGTCGCTATGATAACTTTCTTTTTTAATACTTTACGAAGGAGGCCTTTTCATGCGAAACAGATTTCATTTTTGTGATCAGCTGTCGAATACCATCCACTAGCCAAATTTTTAGCAAAATCTGACGCAATCTAAAAAATTTTCTGTTATACCAAAAATCTATCGTAACCCTTACATAAAATGACAAAATTCGGCAAAAATATCCGTATTTGCAATTTACGTCATAATCCTTCTATTGCCAGAAAATGAATGCGCTATGTTCAAAAAGACAACAGTTATATGAAAAGTTGCATTACCTATGTGCCAACCTAATATTAAGTTGATCCGGAAGAGTGTCGTCTTTCAGACCAATCCTTAAATGCACACAAACGCTCTACACAGCGTTTGCTACAAAACGTTTTTCTTAACAATGGTGTTTTTGTTCCTGAATTCTTTAATAAGCGTTTGGATTTTGGCAGAAGGTCCAACCCAAATTTCTACTTAACTCAATTTAGATATGTTCTACAATCAAAACTTTTGGAAGAGCAGCGACATTGATTAAATGATTTGAACCAAATCCGATTGGTAAATTATTCAAGCAATTTGAACTGGCTTCTCAAGTTTTCATGATAATCTTTCCAAAAGCTTTCATTCTGCGGAGTCTTGATCAAAAAGCTGCAAATATTGATAAACATTCAAAATTTATTAGGTTGGTGCAAAAGTAATGCGCGTTTTCCTATCCCTTGTTTCAAGATAATTTTCTCCATCGAAGTTTCTTCTATGAAACTTACCCAGCATATTGTCAAGAAGCTTCTTTCATGCTCTATTCAATGGTAATTGAAAGAAGCTTCTAGCCTCATTCGTTAAAACTTTATAGAGCTTCATACAACCGCACTCAAAACCAGAATTTCACTGCTCTTACTTTTTCGGCCAGAATTCAAGCGCGAGTAAAGGTACTCTTTTGAAAATTTAACTACTGTATGTAGTAGAAATTTTCTACGTTATGCACGCTTTAATGTTTTCTTAGAATTTACTTAGACTGAGATCTCAGCGCCTCAACATGAGTGATGGTTTTGGCCATTTTGTAGCCCATAGATTTCCTTTGAAGTGGACAATCGCCAAAGTTTTGCTCATTGCTGAAAGCGTAAGGGTGGGCCTCCTCTTGATAGTTTTTGCAGAAATGTGGAAGCTGTTCAGTACACAGAAAATCAGAAATCTCCATATTTTGGGATTTTGAGGGCTAAGAAAAAATGTCGGAAAAAGCGAAAAATTTTATGTATTATTTTTTTTACCTTTCGCAAATATTCTTTATATGAGCACTTTTGTACTTTTCTTGTACTACTGGCTTGCGGCTACAAGACAGTCAACTTTTCATCTATATCGACAAATCTTGAAGGAAGTTATGATCAGTTGAAAACGAGGTTTCCGAAAAAAAAAATTTTTTGGTTATCAATCCATATTTTTCTACCGATTTGCGATGTTAACATAGGTTAATGTGCGCTGTATAGAGAGAGATTTGATGCCTCTGATGAACTTTGCCGCACTGAAAAATATGGATTTTTTAGAAAGTTGTAGCACGTCAAAGTGAGAACTCGCAAAACGCGCATTACTTTTGCACTAACCTAATAATTTTTCAGAACTGAGGATTCACAATTAATTCTCCGCGTCTATCGCTTCGAGCTACCAAATGTTGAATTTGCCGGGTACAGCCTGGAACGGATTGGACACAAAGTTTGTAACGATTTTATGCTCGAAGTCGGTAGACGCTCGTATCAGAAAGGGAGAAATATAGTTAAAAAATGAGATTTTGTATTGAACGAAACCCTAGTTGCTTAATGTTCAATGTTTCTTGACTTTGAAAACTCAAATATGGAATTGGTAGCATGGTCTAAACAGCACACTTTTCTATCTGCCAACTATAGGTCATAAAGCTTGTGTACTCTCAATTTCAAGTTTTTCTGCAACTTTCCGGATTTCTTGGCGACCTAACATAAGCTGATTGAAGCCTGAATAATCTTCTGGAAGAAGCTCCGTGGAAAAATTTTTCCGGCTTTCGAGGGCATCCATAGCGTCTCACAAGAGAATTTCGTTGGGTCGAAGTGGCAATTCGGAAGGTGATGTATACCAATGGATGGAACGTAGAACGCCGTTCTCAAAAATACCTCCACTATCTGCGACGCATTATTCTAAATGGACATATGGGTTTTTTTGTAAATGGAAGTGTGATCTAGTTGGACATGACGACCTGTGGATAAACAGCAACAGATGGTCGGAAATCACTCGAAAACGTTCGAATAAACTCGAACTAGACCTACAATGCTTTCTAGGTGGTTTGCTTAACACGTTGACGACGAGCCATTTTTTTGCGGTCTGTCCCTGTGGACGAGACGTTTCCATGCATCCCTACGCGTGGCCCATGTATGTATGCATGCATCCATGCACGAAGTACAAAATGTGCAAGCCCCGCCCCCTCTGGCAAGCTCCGCCCACTCGACCAAAAATGTCGGAAATTGCCCAAATTTCAAATTTCAATTTCAATTTATGCGATTTCCGCCACTTTTTAAAAGTGGGCGGAGCTTGCCACTCGGGGGGCGGAGCTTGCCTGACGGTGAGCGGGGCCTGGCTAGAAGTTGCCTGAAGTCTTTGCGTTCATCTACAGCCTTATCCATGTTTTTTGTGGACAAAAAGGATCCTTGTGAGAGGCATAAAAGTGGGCGGAGTTTGCCAAAAGGGGCGGGGCTAATACATGAAGTACATCTGAGCCTATGTTGATTATATGAACAAAAACTGAGAGGATTGGACAGATAGTATTGAATTTAAGGCCGCCGCGCACTATTGCGCGGCACTGTCGCCAACGTGTTAAGCTTACACACACTTTTGTGCAGAAA